CCTTAGGGGTCGGTGGTGACAATCATACAGAAGAGACGGTATTCGGTATGAAGTCGCAACTTCGTGAGTGCCGACCGGGGCCCGCCAAAAACTCCAACTGATGCTCATGATGCTGGCCGTCCATGGGCCCAGATACCCCAACACCAATCTGGACGGGCTGAAGACGCGGCAATGTTTACATCATGACTCATAGAGATGATTGGACTTTCCGTGAGATCAGGGTTATTCGTCGCAGCATCTTGGCTATGTGGAACAGACGTGTGTTTTCTGAAAAGTGCAGGAAGATGCAGAGAGATGGATCGATAAGCAGTGTTCTTTAATTCGCCGTTCTTTTTTAGAATCCAGATTTAATTACGGTGAAGTTTGCTAGATATGTGGAGGGCGGCCAAGCCCCCGGAGCCACAGAGGTAGTATAAGTATTCTTTAAATGATATACCCATATTTAGAAATACCCCACCCTTCCACTCCCTAGACCCTCCACCCACGAGAGCACGAGGAAACGACCACATGAGCGGCCAGCAACTCCGATTTCGTAGTTGCGATCTCCATGTTACGCTGGTTCTTGTTTCGATACTCAGCGTCTAATCAGGCATCCTTGGAGAGCTCGTTGTCCTCCAAAGTACTTGGCAACTTGGCTGCGACACCCCTACGCGGGTTGTGCTGTTGTACAGCTTCCTCATGAACTCCTTTTCCGATCCGGTCCGTATTTTGCGTGAGGGGTGGCTCACAACCCTACTAGTACTTAGTTTTGGCGAGCCAACTTAAGAAATGGTTTGCAGGATATACGAAAAGCTGAGCCCAGTCTGAAGAATCAGAAATCTATTCGAGCATTCATGATTTCAGCCTCGGCCATCCCGGCCCAGTCCGGCCCAGCGGCATTTCAGAGCGGGATTGTTGGTTTGGAAGGGATGTTGCGAAGAGAAGAGCCTCGGGTCACGTTTCGGCCCGCTCCAGCCACCACCTGAAGCCTGAAGCCCCTGGAGCCTTGAAGCATTAAGCCCTGCTGAATCACATTGGATCTTTTGAAGCCGATGAGCCTCGTGGACCCGACCTGGCCAGGTAGTGCGGTCGGCTGGGTAGGGGACAGGATCCAGGACCGACCGGTGAGTTGAGGGTTTATTGAGAATCAATTCTTGCAGTTTGCAGTTTTGGGATGGCCTACACTGTGCTACCGCCAACGGGCACTAGGTACATAATCACTACTGTAAGGACAGTATTAAAGTGTATTCAGTGAAACCTCATGCACATATGGATTTGTGCTTTGTTCTTTGGGAAGCAGAGCCCTTTACCCGCACTAAGACGAGTCGACGGTGGAGTCTACTAAATACAATATGTCTCGTGCCATAGTCCGAAGGACGGCAATGGACTTGTCGGCAAAGCTCTGGGGGATGCCTATGAGCGCGCCACAGACAAGGTGAGGAGGTTGAGATGACAACAGCACTAGTCATCATAAGCACATAGTGCTGACACTGGTACTGAAGATGGTATAAGACCGCGGTGTTGGTTGCTGGTGGTTTTCTGTTGGTAGACTTTGGTAGCCGGCAGCCACACCCGTCGTCATACCAGCAGTGCCTCGGCTCTGCGACGATCCCCCTTATGCGTCCGTGAGGACGGCACACGGGTCACGCGAGTTTCAACATGTCTCAACCATCCCCAAGCCTGAGACCTTGCTCCAAAACAATCACGTACCTCAAGCGAGAGCAAAGACTGCGAACGGCTGGTAGTTTCTGGCTGACGGCAATAATGCAACAATCTGCGGAGACCATGCCTCAAAGCGACCGATACTAGGCCGGGAAAGCCGAAAGCTACAGCTAGTCCCAAGTCAAAGGCCCAGGTCAAGACATTACGACATGTGCTCACCAAGTCCACCAACACGTCATGATGTACCTAATCATGCTGCGCAGCGATTTTTTTTAGAAATGCATGAGGCGAAAACACTGCACGGCTAGAGACACGTCCAGAATAAAACCAGAGCGTCACCAATCCTCCAAACCTGGCAAGCCCGTCGCGCCGAGATTGGCTTCGTCGCTCGGACAACAATCGACACCGTGCAAAAGGCCATGGATATCCTCACAAGAGGCTTCACAGACTGGCGTGCATGGTGCCCTGCGCGAAACATGCCCTGGATTGTGAGCGGCGACTTGCTTCTGATTGCTAGCACTGTTTTCAGAAGGTGTTCTGAGATTAATGGGGTAATTAGTTGAGACAGCATGAGAAAGCCGGTCCTCGCACTCACGACAACTATTGTGTCCATGACCTGGCGATTTGCGATGCAGAAGTTACCTGTAAAGTTAGGTATGCACGAGTCAGCAAGCAATTGGGGTCCCGCAGAAATATGTCAAACGAGCTTTTTCTAGCCCGGGCATCAGTTTTTGATGTATATTTCCGGCAAAAGTAACCGCTGATTACTGAGGTTCACTCCTTTACTGTACCTGTTAGAAGTTATAACGATTAGGTTGCTTTCGCGCGTCATTTGTCGGAACCTAGACAACGATCGCCTCCGCGTTTATTTCGGCCATGTCCAATGCAGACTTTCGTTGATGGGACAAGAAGTCGACTTGTTCAATTTCAACTTTGGCCAAAAAGACGCACACTTTCCGCACAATCTGCGGATGGTAACAGGTGGAAGAATTCTGGACCTCATGCCTTCGCCCGTGAGGCTGGTTGCAACTTCGCACTACGAGGCTGTCCGGACAGTGTTCAGCGTTGGATTTGAGCTGATGCATTGCCATCACCGTGGCCACCACCATGATTTGATTCGATGTCTTGCCCATTGGGTGTACGGCCTCGTAAATCCTTTGCCCTGGCTGCCAAATCCCGTCAAGCTGGTCGCAGGTTCGCATTACGAGGCTGTCCGGACAGTGTTCAGCGTGGGATGGGAGCTGATGCATTGCCCACAACGTGGCCACCACCATGATTTGATTCGATGTCTTGGCAATTGGGTCTATCACCTTGTAAATCCTTTGCCCTGGCTGCCAAAACCCGTCAAGTTGGTCGCAGGTTCGCACTACGAGGCTGTGCGGACAGTGTTCAGCGTTGGATTCGAGCTCATGCATTGCCATCACCGTGGCCACCACCACGATTTGATTCGATGTCTTGGCGGTTGGATCTATCACCTCGTAAATCCTTTGGAATGGCTGCCAAATCCCGTCAAGCTGGTCGCAGGTACGAATCAGGAGGCTATTCGGACAGTATTCAGTGTTGGATGGGAGCTGGCTCATTGTCCACAGCGCGGCCACCACCATCAGTTGATCCAATGTCTTGGCCGTTGGATCCAGCACCTTGCCCCAGCGCTGCAATGGATGCCCCACCCCGTACAGGCACTTGCAAACGGCCAGATAATGAGCCTGTTGCCGGGCCAATTGAACCAGATTGCCCGTGGTGACATCATGGGGCTCTTGCCAGGACAGTTGAACCAGATTGCCAGTGGTGACATCATGGGGCTCATGCCTCAGCCAATGCAGCTTCTCGGAGGAAGCGATCTGAACTCTATCGCAAACATGATCGAAATGGGCACGGAGCTCATAAAGTGCTCTGAGGCAGCGGCTAAAGGCGACCTGGTCCAGTGCCTCGGCTACAAGATCATCGGCAGTGTCCCTCCTCTGAACTTCTTGAACCGCTTGGGCGACATCTTCGAAGAGTTCATCGCAGCATTCGCGAAGGTCGCCTCCAAGTTGGCGGTTCAAGCGATAAAGGGCGGGGAATCGCTGCTACAGACGGCGGCCACCACGGAGTTCCCCTCTGCCGGCGCTCAGGCGATGGTGCATCACAGAGGCCGGACTAAGCGTTCGATGTAGTTGGGAAGGGAGAGTTTTTCAGGAAAGATCACCTGCACGGCGGTCTCTTACGGGCCAAACTGTGCAGGTGCCAACCTCGTCATCACGAAACACTCGCAGAAGATGCCCGGCAAACATGCCGAGTTGCTGCAGGAGATGGCCACCCTGGAGGCTCCGTTGCTGTTCCGATAAGACCTGCATAGCACAAGTCGGCATAAGGTCCCATCGAGGAGCCGTCATCTTGGAATAATCTTCGCTCTGCAGTTTGAACTCGCGATATGCTTCGGCCCAGGCCCAAGGCGACGAGGAGCCACCGGCCTTGGTGAAATGGGAATTTACAGATTATGGAGCTGAGACCCACGAGCTGGTCACGCAGCTGCTTGTCTCGGAGGGGCACCCGGACTTGCCAGGACAAGTGTCCCCACACCGACACCCATGCCCACCCACACCGCACTCAGACCCACACCCACACAGACACGGACACGGACACGGACAAGCAAACACGCGCACTCTGACTTACTTACTTCTTTACACACACACAGTCTCACTCTCCGGTTGTTTCCGTCTCTTTCCCTTCCTGTCGCTCCATTGGGCCATGCAGAACACAGCAGCGATGCAAATACTGCTTGCCAGTCGGAAGTAACTTGTCGCAGCTGTTGCGGCAAGCCGTGCCTGTTTGGGTGCGCATGGGGCGCAAGCTGAGGGGCAGCTTCAGACTTGCTTTGGTGCTGTTGAATCTTGGGTACAGTATGTTGACTTGAAGGGATTGTTTGTGTCCCGATGTCTGCATTCGTTTACTCATAACATGTGATCATCGATGCACAAACTGAAGGGAAGTCAGTCAGAAAAAACTGAAGGGAAGTCAAAATAACATCAACAGCGATGGAGATCACCAACAACGGCAACAACAACAATCACAATAACAACAAAACAAAATCATCATCAACAGCAACAACAGCAGCAACAAAACAAACGAGCAAGGGGAACTCAACAGATCATGAGAGGAAATGAGCCACAACACCGCAACTCAGAAATGGTTCAACCATACTTCAAAAATAAACTGCAAACTAGGGCAGAAACAAAACCAAAGCATATTAGAGACTCAAGTCGAAAACCAGGTAACAGCAAACAAGCAGTTATTGATTGGCATGTTCCCAAGATGTACCAGCCACGGCAAGTCTTAGAAAGAGTACAACGTCAGTTTGGTAATCAAGGTAGCTTTGCCTCGTTTGCTTTTTGTAAATTCCGGTGTTGCACAATGGGTCATTGCTGCCATAAGGAGCCTGTAAGACTAGCGCTAGACTGGTTTAGTGTTTAGGGCAAGCATGTCAGAGTTTCTTCCAGCAGGGTGCCGTTGCAGAGGGCCGTGTTCGAAAGGCGGTGTGCTGGATGAATCGCCGCCAGATCCTTGATGCACGTCCTTCAATGATGAAATAAGGCAGGCGGCAGGAGCGTGAAAGCATGCTGCCACTAGGGTGACAGCAAAACTTGTTAGGGTCGGTCCGTCCATGGACCAGCAACCCAAATGCAAAGCGACTGCGAGGAAGGCGGTCCCATTTTACACAAATTCCCGTGTGGCGGTTTAGGCTCAGAGGTCCAGATCCTCTACTGGAAGACAACTGTCTCCACTAAAGCCGGTCTGTCGGGAGCGAAGTCTTTGTCACGCCGACCTGCATCTGTTAGACCTCGCCTGGCTTGTCCGAGTTGTGAGATCGTAACTGAAGTCTACTGTAGCACGGAGCACGGGCCTGTCTTTGGAGTCCGAGGTTCAATGGCAGGGAGACCGTGACTGGATCCTGCCTTGCTTTCGCACCCAGGAACAAGACCGGCAGCAACAACCAGGCCACTCAAAAGGATTGGCAGGCAGAGACAGAGGACGACTTCGTGAAGCTAGAGCCTTGGGCGGTGCCTTGTGGAGCCAAGTGGATCAAGGACAATTGGGACAAGTGGCAAGGATATTCCTTCTACTCGGTGGGCACGTCGATTGAGAGGTGTGTGACGGTGACATTTGAGTTGAACATACAGCCCGTCATCGCCTTCGTGGGCGGTTTAAAATTAGATTTGCTTCCGGGGCCATTGTTCTCAATCGACTCTACAGTCCGGGCCTTATACCATAGCCGATAGATTCAGTCCCACCTGTGATCATGTGCCTGGTTCCTATACGTTCGCCTTGCGATTGGCAGCTGGTGTGCGCATGCAAATACAAAGACTTATTGACAGGCAGCCGAACCTCTGGAGATGGTTCCACTTCTCCCGTGTGAATTCCGAGCAGTAAAGAGTGAAAAAAGCTCCCCCCCCTCCCCCGCCCCCCAGCCCAAGTCCAACATACCTGAGGACCCCGCCGCTCCTAAGACCCCGCCCCATGCATCAAGCATGCGAACCCAACTGTGCTTGGAGCACAGTGCCCACACCGCACTGCGGCACAAAAATTGAGTCGCAACATGTATAATATAGCATCCGCAGGACTGTTGCAGGAGCACGGTTGAACCCACAAAAAAGAACACCAAGTATGCGTTGATGGGACCTCTAACTACACGACAACCAAGTGTGGGATTCTAACAATGAGTTCGGCGTTCCAACCATGGCCGTCTCCGGACTGTGGAAAGAATGCTTTAGCAGGTGCCGTGCCACAGCATGAGCCAGGAGCTGTGGAACCACCATTTACACAGGCCAGCCCGCGCACCTCAAGCTGTCACTTGCCAGGACTTACCAAATCCCCTAAAAACGCCATGTGTTGCCATGAAAAAGATACAGAAAGGACTGTTGAGGCGTGTAACGTTGTTCTTACACATCACATGTATCGCTGCAGGGCCCAGAAGAAGTAAATCATGCTTATCATCACCCGCCGCAACAGTCCCCTCTCCAAATAGATAAAGCCACTGGTGCGACAGCAACATGAGAAACGGCACATCGACATTACTAGGTGGCACTTTGGGAAACGTTCCTCTATAGGCGTACCTATTCATAAATACTTTTTAGGGCCCCAGAACTACAACCCAGGTTAGCATTGAGGATAGCAGCGACAGCGTGGGGGAACGCATGCGTGGGATTGGAGGGGAGGGGGGAACAGGGAAAGTCAAGGCGAAGAGACAACTGAAAGCAAGACCTCTCCGACAGTAGATTCGACAATGTATGGAATGTCAGCCGGTAGCAGGGAGTCACTATAGGGCGAACGCGGAAACACGCAACACCTACTCGGATGTTGTTGCTTCGCCAAATTCGGATCAAACCTATATTGGCAATCGTTTGAGCAGTCAGGTTTGCTGGCCGAGATACCAGCCGGGTGGGCTGGACCTCAGCGTGCTGCGCTCCGAGATCAAATCCAATAAAATCCTGCTGTTCAGCCGGACATTGCGCTTGGCGAAGAGGTTTGGCAGCGACACGCACTTCACGGCTGACAATGTCCATGGAAGCCATGAAACCTCGGAAAACTTCTTTGGGGTTTCGGCGGCAGAGGGAGAAAGTGGAACTGCCATGGAATACATGTCCAGGACGTCACTTCTGCAGGGCAACCGCAGCCGCAAACGCCACAAGACTCGGCTCAGGGAATCTTTGTATTGGAAAACGGAAGAGGACGATCTCCACTTGGCTTCGATCGAGATTGGGAATGACCTGGGCATCAACAAAACCTCTGAAGTACGAGGGCCTTCAGCTGGGCAGCGCATCAGATCTCTTCTTTCGACCTCCGAAGGTGAACAAGAGCAGGAGGAGACTTTCAAGCTCTTCGGCTTCAAGAACCCAGGCCTGGTGAACTTCGAGATTCAAGGCCTCTTGACGGGCAATGTCATTTATCTCGGCATACAGATGGGTTTTGGCTACTACCAAAGTCCGATGATGAAGATCCCCTTGTTAAACTTTGCGCATCAATTCGCCGCCATTTTGGCAGCAATGCCGGACCAGCTGATCTCGGAGGAGAGCCGGGCCCGGGCCATCGCCGCCTTGTATGACTTCAACCACGCGGACGTCGACAAGGTGCGGCGAGCGTCCAAGGCCGTGAGAATGACAGATCCTGCCGCAAAGGCTAAGGAAGACGAATGGTCCTTTGAAGTGAACTCACCTCCCGTCGGCTCCGGCATGAAACGCGAAGACCGCCCTGTCGCGGAGGAGGTTCTCCCCGAGTGCCAGGCCACCGGGTTGGGGTTCGATGAAGTTTGGGAATGTTGCCCCGTGAGTCGCCAACTGTGCTTCTTTCCTGCGGCACTTACCTGGTGGTTAGTGTCAGATCAAGCGGAGACAGCAAGACAGTCCTTGTTGGTTGTAATCGCTTTCCGTTTTGTTAAACACCCCCCTAATAATAAGAACACATTCGGGCGAATCCTCCCGAAATCATCCGTGCCCTTTGAAACCTATTCTGAATTAAGGGGGAGGGTTTCGAGGCTCCAAATATCCTTAGAGTAAAAGCTAGAGCAGCTAGAGCAAGAGCAGCAGCAAGAGCAAAGCAAGGGCAAAGCAAAGGCAAGAGCGGGAGTAAAAGCAAGAGCAGGACAAAAGCGGGAGCGACAGCGAGAGCAGGAGCAGGCGCACGAGACGCAGCAGAAGCAGGAGCCAGGAGCAAGAGCACAACCCCTCAAGAGTGGCAGTAGAACAAAAACCCCCTAGTAATAAAAGCCCTTTCCGAGTTTTTAGTGGGGGCCCCCTCATTTCACATTTATGGGCCAAGACTAATCAAAAAGCGTCACGAGAAAAGCGAGTGGTGTAGACGCAGCGGAGCTTGTTGGTAGCTAAAATCGCATTGGCAGAGGTCTGGACACGTGGGTCAGGGGATAGCCCAGCACAGCCAATTGTCGACATAGGAACAGACCGATTGCATCTGATCTCAGACTTCCGAACCATGCCAATCGATCGTCTGCAGTCGAGACAATATTAAGTTAAGCTGCGAGCCGGGAACTCCTTCTCACACACAATGGCTCCAGGAATTCGAGGCTTGGGTCAAACTCTTGTCTCTGAGAGATGCGATTCCTGACATATGCAGGGCGCCATCGCGGAAGGCAGGAGTTCGTGCTCCCATCTGCAGGCCTCACTTGTTGGGCTCATGTCCGTGGACACATCATATGACATCATGCAAGCTTCGATGACATGCTGACGTCCACGACATTCTATGACACTAATGCTCATGGTTGCTTTTCGTGTCTGTTATCTGTTTTCACAAGTCAGAGTAGTAGGAAGGTTCTGGCGAGTAATTTGTATTTGCCGTCAGGCTGTCGAGCATGCGTATGATCATGCTTGCTCTGCTCATTGTTCCCACTACTCCTTACCAGATGCAGTTTTGAAGTGTCGACTTTGGCTTTGTGCAGGTTGTGACTGATGTGTTACCACTCCTAAATCGTTGAGCTTCGTGGATAGCTTTGCAGAGTCTTTGGCGAGTGCACAGACTGCCCAAACGCCATATCGCGGAAACGAGACTCGGTTCGGTGTCCTGCAAAGCTGAAGCAGTGGTGCTGGTGCCTGAGGTGGTGGAGGTGTGTCAGTGGAGTGACTAAATGACTAAATTCCGGTGAAGTGTTGAAAAGCATTCCGGTTAAGTGTTGAAATGCATCTACAACAACATGAGCACAACAACTCGGTAGAGATCGGTTGCTTTTATCGGTTCTTTCGAGGCTGACTGGCAGTTTCATCCCACACACGATATGGCACGCACTGGAGGCTAGGACCTACTGTAGCAGCTTGTCACACAGAGGAAAGTGAAACGCATGGCGTCGCTGGCCCAGGCCTTGTCTTGCTACCATTGCCTAACTTATCGGGGTTACTTGATGGGTGTTTAAGGTTTAGGGTCTTAAGGGTTTTAAGGGTCATTCTGAGGGCATTAGTTGCCTCTAGCTGTCTGCTTTCAGCCATGAGGAGTCGAAGACGCATGTAAGCTTTGTCCTTACTCGTGCCTCAGATGGCCTCCAGAAGTTTAATATTTGTTCACAACGTACTTAATAATTGGTCTCAATGTCATGACAGGAAGCCGCGTATCGCTTGGTTATGCCCAACATCCAATCCACTCAACCTACTGATACTCGATATCCGAGAAGCTATCGCCAGTGTGCGGGAGCATGGTGCCAGGAGGCAGACTGCAACAGCTACTTCGTGACAATCGGAGCCACATGGTCTGCGTAGTTCAAAGTTTGGGGCTGACTCAACTTTCGTAGAGCACAGAATTGTAAAAACAAGTTTCTGTCTGCCCGCGATGCAAATGATCCCCTTTCCGTGGCACTTGCAGCCTGCAACCTTGTGGCTTGCAAGCACAGTCAATCTGTACCCATGGAACCTTCTGAACGGCTGAGGAGCGGACAATGCAGTGCACTTGGCTGGATGGAAGATGCTCGACCCTTGGCTTGCAGCCCCCAACTTGGTCAGCATGCGAGAACAGGGCGTGTGTGTGTGTGTGTATATATATATATATGCATGTATGTATGCATTTATGTCATTGCTAGTCTGCCTGTCTGCCTGCATGGATGGATGGATGTGAATGTATGTACGTCTTTATGTCTGTATGTCTCTGTGTATGTATGTCTGTCTGTATGTATGTATGTATGTACTTATGCATGTATGTATGTGTGTACGTATGTACGTATGTATGTATGTATGTGATTCCGAGCGGGGATTGGGTTTGTTTGCTAGGCTCGCAACGGAACCGCTCCGGCACCCGCAGCCGCGGATGCCCGAGCGGTGCCGGTCCGGTACCGCAGGTTTTGGACTTAGGTCTCCGCGGCTTGTACGATGGCACGAGGCGGCTGCTCCTGCATCCCTCTTCTGATGTGTCTGTGTCTGCCCGCTCGCCCGACCAGGTCGGCGACGGCGACACCGGCACCGGAGAAGCAGTTCTGGCTCTGCTTCTTCCCGTCGTTCCGGCCGCCCGGTGCTCAGCTTGACCCGGCGCCGTTCGGCCTCCTTTCCGTGTCCTGTTTCAGGTCACCGCTCCCGTCGGAGAACTAGTTCTCCTTCACGCCGCTGCTCCTCTCCCCGTCGGCGTTCCGACTCTGAGGACTGCTAGTGTTTGCCAGGGTTGCCTTCCATTGCTGCCGCATGCTGTCTGCACACATCGGCACATGAAACTTCCGCTCTTGTTGTTGCATGTCTTTGTTGCCGCAGCCGTTTCTGCTCCGTGGTTTTTCTGCTGGCCCGCCTTCTGCCCTGTCTGGTGTCATGGCCGTCCTTCCGACTCCGGACTCTTCCGCCGCCCCGATGCCGGCTGAATCGGCCTCTGCCTCCGTTGAAGGCATGCCCGTGGCTCCTGCGGCTCCGGCCCCGAGCCCGTCACTGGACGAGTCCACGGAGGACGCAGTGACAAGTCCGAAGATGCTCCGGAGGAGGGTGTTGCTCCTTCTTCTGCCCCCGGGCCGGTAGAAGTTGAGCCCGCACCCGCCCCCGGTTCTGTGGCCTGGTCAGAGATCCTGAGTTTTCTGGATCTGTGACAGGAGGCCCGCCAGACAGCGCTTTCTCATTTGCCAACCTCCGAGCTGATCAAGCTAACGCTGGACCCCCCTCCCGGCCCCCGGTTGCCAACCCGCCACCGTCGTTGGTTGTCAGGGGTGGTCCGCCACCCAAGGAGCCCCCCGGCTCGGAAGACACGTCCGGAACAGGTGCCGCAGTAAGCCTGTCCGTTGCCGTACCCCGGCTGGCACCGAGCCCGGCGGCAACAGTCCGAGCGGAGATCTGACCCGGCACGACAGGGCGGCAGAACAGCCCGATGATGACCTGCATGTGGCGTCCGCAGCTGGACTCCAGAGACGTTGCTCCTGGGTCCTAATACCGCTGGGTGGACGTCCAACCCACCCTGCCACCGCTTCTGCAATGCCCATCCTGGACTTCCAGGGAGGGTTGGGTCATCACGATCCAACCTCCGTCGCAGCCCGGAACCTGGCGCCGGCCGACCTGGTGGCCGTATCCGGACCTGTTCGCTTTGCAGCCATGCGAACACCCCCGGTGGCTCCAACGTCTGGCTCCGGCCGAGCCTCTCCGCCATCTGCAGATCCGGGAGAACTGCCCCATGAGTGCAGTCGTCTGGTCAGCCACACCCAAGGCAATCGTTGCCTGGGTCTCTGTCTCCGTCCGATAATGGTTAACGAGAGAACTGGTCACGACCAGCATATCTGTATCCATTGTCTGGAAGGCAGATGAGTGCTGACTCCGACACTGCACTTTTCTCCGCCTCCGGGACCGCCGGGTCAGCTCCGGGCCTTTCAGGAATGCCCCGGCACCGGTCCTGTAAATTTCAAGCTTTTTCCTTTACCGCCAGCCGGTCCGCTGCTGTCTCTGCAGCACGGCCGCTGCACCCGTCTCGCCGGGCAAGGTAAAACAGTGCGCTTCTGCTTGCCTCTGCTTGCTCCTTGTCTTTGCCTGTTGTCTGTCCTGTCGGTGCGTCTTCTGCCCCTTGTCAGGACACCGCCGTCGAGCTCATGGAGGTTCGTGTGCCTCCTGGAGGTCCGCTGCCGCCGTCTGGCCCCTGTGGTCCGCAGCTCTCGGCTCTGCCTCCGCCCTTCTCCGTTTTTTTGCAGCTGCCGGATACCGTGCCGTTTTCGGTCAGAGGCGTCACACATTGGGGCCCGGCTGCCGGTCTCGTCTGCCAGCCTTCCTGCACCTGCCACCGGCTCACCGGCTTACCGGCCGTCCCCCTTTGCGCGGTCCCCCCTACTCCGTCCCTTTCTGGCTCGTCCTCATGGTCTTTGGTCAGGCTAGCTGTTCCCTTGGGCCCAGTTTCTCGTGGCTTCGATCTGGCTGCTCCGGCCTCGCCTGCGGTCCTTCCGGTTCCGCTGCCTTCCCGGCCGTTTCCGCGCCCGTGGAAGCACCTCTTTTGCCACCTCCGCCGTTCAAGAGGTTTCGGCCGATGCTTTCGGCCGGCGGCCCTGTTGTTCCCTTCGTCTCTGCTATGCCCTCTCCGTCCGAGATTTTAGAGATCTCCTAGACGACTGCCTCGAGCCGCTCTATGTCTCTCAGCCCAGTGGTCGTCGAATCTTCCTCTGCCTCGCAGACGGATGCCCTTCTGCAGTCCCTGCTTCTTCGTTGGCGGGCCTTCCTGCACGACCTCGGCTCTGCTTCTGCTCTGTTCACGGAGGCCTCCGCTTCACACCACACGGAGTTCCTCCTTGATAGGGCGGCAACCAAATTTGCACCTTCTACCCTCCAACGTTATTTCGACGCATGGCTAAATTGGGCCTCCCTCTGCAAGTGGGCTGGGGCTGCACCGCATGCTCCCCCTCCGGGCCTGCTCCCGGATTGGCTTAAATCTCAGTCGAGCAAGCAGGGTCTGGCAACCATGCAGCTCCGTGCCTTGGCTTGGTTTTGCAAAACGGCTGGCCTGCCTTCTCTGCGCGCTGTCTTGACAACCCCTCTTTGTCAGGCCTTCGCCACCCCCTCCAATCCGTCAGAGCATCGTGAATCTCTGCCTCTGAGTCTCAGCTTCGTTGTGTTTTTGGAGAGAACTCTGATGGACAGTGCCACGTCTCCGGCTGAAATTCTTCGGTTGGGTTACTTGCTTCTGTGTCTGTGGGGCTCGCTCCGCTGGGGTGACGCCCTATGGTGCCCTCCTTCCCGGCTCCATTATTACATTATCAGGCACAGGCCCACGCTCTGGTTGGCATCTGTCTCCGGACCAAAACCACTAAGCGTGGCATGCCGTTTGGCATTCTGGTATCCGGTCTTTGCGGAACCCCGACACAGTGTTGGGCCCTGCGTTTCCTGAACGTTCTCCGCCAGGCTGTTGCGGATACGCTGGCGCTCAACCCACGACGGGCGCTGGCTCCGAGGCGCGACCTCTCCTGCCCTCCCCTCTTAAACGGGGGCGCATGGTTCTTTGGCTCCGTGGTCTGCTGTTGCGCCACTGGCGCCAATTCAGCTCTGACCCGCCTCCTGCGGCCTTTGGTCTGGTTGCTGCTCACTCGTTGAAATGCACACTGCTGGCCTGGGCCCGGCAACTGCACGCGGATTCAGATTTGCGCCGGACCCAGGGTTGGCAGAGCGATTGGGGAGAACTGTATTGGAGGTAACTCCAGAGACAGAAGAGTCCACCACGAGTCACGGAAATCCACAATGGTCCAAAGCGGACTTCCAGGCAGAGTCACAGTGCTGGAGAGGAATGACGTTGGAGTCAGGAGCAGCCGGCGGAGACATCACCGGACACGGGGGGATGACGGAGCCAATGCCCAGAGGCACACCCTCACGCAACAACTTGAAATACGCACTGTCCGGATCACAGCAGACGTGGCAGAGGCGCTGCCACAGATTAAGCCTGAAGGGCTGACCCGGGTGGACTTTGAGAGTCTCAGCCCATTCTTCTTCCGATGAGATGCCCAGGAAAGAGCGCAGATCAGAGAGGAAGGGATGCAGCTGCTCCTCAGACAGGGGCGCAGTGCGAGAGCTCGAGTTCAAGGAAGCGGCGATGCGGCTGGCCAGACCACCCTCCAGCAAACGCTTGGACCAAGCTGAGCGGAGCGGTCCCAGAAAGTCGTGGCCCGAAGACAGAGCCGGACGGGCAGCGCTACAAGTTCCCGCACCGTCTTCCACACGATGCGGGAAGGCTGAGTCCGTGCTCTGAGAGAGGAAGGGCGCTGCCTTGACAGCCAGTGCCGAAGCAAGCTGTTCCGGGTAACAGGCCGTGGCACGCGTCAGAAACGACCCGTCTGAGGATCGCTTGCCACTGAGTCTGGAGTGAAAGCCCAGCGGATGCGGGCATACAGAACCCAAGGACGCCACAGACCCGAGTCGTTTGAGCAGAAGGTCCAGGCTTTGTGGAAACCCAAGCCAACCTGGCAAGCGGCCACGGAAGTCAAGAAGGGAGCATGGGACCGGCACCAGGCTAGACGAAGGATTTTCCATCCAGATGAGCCCCCCCCTTTGAGCAACCAGATGCAGCAAACAGCGACATCTGGAATGCAAGGAAGAGGACTCCAACTCCCGGGCTTGCGCCGGAGCCGGAGAAGGGTTCTGCAGAGTGCGAAGCGGAGGCCGGCCACCCGGGCGCAGGCGCGCTCGCGAGAAGGAAGAGCAGGGCGGAGCCGCGCCTGCCGCGCCTACCAAACCAGACGCACAGAGGCGTTCCAAAGAGTGAAAGGTGGGGTCGTGGAGTAAGTCCAGGGCCGACCCAGCCAACAGATCGACCGGCTCCAGGCGATCTTTGTGAAGAGCCGCCACTGCCACAGAAACTGGGGATGAAGCACCCGAAAACAGGCGGCGGGCTGTGGAGGAGGCTGGCAGGATGGAGTTAAACCGAAGGTGCGTCACGAGAAGGCGGGCGCACCTGCGGCGGGGAAACCTCCGGATCCCCCCAGGGCCAGAGGGGGTAGAGGCTGCGGAGGCAGGGCCGGGCTAGCAGAGGCAGGTCCCAAC